CACCCCATCCCACACCTCACAACCAGCACACCAAAGAATATACCTCAAACTGATCTACACAGGCCATCACACGCTAAAGGTGCCAGACACTTTTAGATTTTATGCGTTTTAAAATTTGAATGGAATTAAGTTCCTTCTGTTTTGTCTTTTTTTTCCTCCCTCAAGCATATTGATAGTTGTGTGACTGCATTGTTTCAAATGAAACACTGTGAATTTTCTTACTAAATAAACACTTCAGCATGTTTCAGTAGAACCCCAAGACGTGAATTTTTTTTAAGGGTGCAAATGCATGCTGTTTGTTTATAATGTCTTCATGACTAGTTGTGATTGCCCATATTCATAGAGCATTGTGGGTAAATATACCTATATGTATGTGTGTGTGTGTGTGTGCGAAGTGAGAATGGACTAAATGCTAATTGAAGACTGGTCGGGAATATGGGTGTTTGTGTGATTGTGTTTGTATGTCTCAACATCAAGTCAAAATGACTAGTGCAGTGCAGTTTAACCCATTTTTTGATGAGTAGACTGAATATTTGCGTTATGCCTAAGGGAAATGTAGCTTTGTGTGTTAGCATTAGGTAATGCTAATAGTGTGTCCATGTTTGTTTATGTGTGTGTGAGGTGCATTCCTGTATGTAAATGTATACTCAGAACCTTCAACTGCACTGGCATGGCTCGTCATCCAATAGGTAACAACTTTCTGTTCTGTATAACTGGTGTACATATCTTTATGCATACTATATCACATTGGTTCAACACCAAGATGGCCACATTACAGCTCCTAGAATCACGTCATTGTTTGTATGCAGTGCCTTTTCAACCTCAAAACATAGCACCTACACTTAAGGTTTTGTGTGACATGTAAAGAATATAAGCTATAACTAAAAGAAACTTTCTGCCACATCCCATTAGCATTCATTTTAAATTCGCTAATAAAATCCAGAACTCAGCTGCTGAAGATCAACCAGTGCTTTTTTCTGAACATTAGACCTTAGTCAGATTAGACACCATGTTCAATGAAAATGAGGCTGCGAGGGATAGACTAAAGGTCCTAGTTCACATACATTTCACAACTGAAATTGTCAAAAATTAAATATGGTGCTACCTTGACTAAGGTCTATATCAAATATACTGCTGAAATTGTAAAAAAAAATGTATCTGATCAATCCAATTTTTTGTCAACTGGTCAAAAATCCAGTAATCTCAATAAGAATCCACGCAATCTGAAATTTTGCATGAGGGTGAAAGATTTCCTCATGCAGATTTTGCAACAGGTTCAAGTTGGTCATACGCATTCACTGTTGACCAACAGAAAGCTGCTTGGTTTGAAAGTGACTTCTGTGTCAGCTGTGCTTCACACAATGTTACACTACTGACAATAGACAAACGTGCCTTTTTTGTGACCTCATCTTAACATACTGGAACTAAACAGGGCATAAATTCAAAGGTTAAATTCTCAATGATATAGTGCTGGGGACTGAGGAAATTTTGTGTAACGGTAGAATAAGTGGTTTAGTTTGAGTGGATATGCATAGTATTTCCCTTCAAATTTGATGTCATCGTAGGAAATTAAGGTTGGGAAAACACTACTGAGGACAGAAGAAAAATACTACTGTTAAACAACCATTAAGAGAAATTAACGATTCAAAGCAAAGATTATTTATTTAACAGTCCTTAATTAAAACTTTATTTTTGTAATACTGTGCGATAATATTCCATGTATGACAGAATTCCATTAAGATGACAAATAGCACCAGAGGACATGGGAAAATGTGCCAACTCTGTTCGTAAAGTGATTAAAAATATACTGTATATGCATTCAAATAATCAGATTATTTTGTGTAAACAATCATGAAATCCTTTCGGGAGCAATTTGAGCCCAATTTTTCAAAGCAAAAGGCACTGCATACAAAGAATGACCCAAACACAGCAGCTCCACTCACTTGTCACATTTTTTTTTACATTTTTTTTTTTTTTTTTTGTAATGCCATTCTAACAGAATACATTTAAAGAAGTGAACTTGTTGAGAATGTAATGAACACACACCAAGATCACCAAGCGCTTCAGGACATTTTCTCTGATTTCTCTGCGGTGCATCAGTCAGATAAACAGCCACCACCCCCTGTATAGCCCAGTGTTATTTTTGATCAATGCTCTGGCTGTGCTGTCTGCTACCCCCTGTGAGCAGTGTGTCAGCGAGACCCCCTGGCCTCTCTTTCTCTCTCTTTCTCTCCCTCTGTCTCCGTGTCTGTGCCTCACAGCTGTCCATGTGCGAGGAGATGCTACGAGAGCTGCAGGGCATCGTGCTGTGTCAGGACAGCCTGCAGTTACGGCGCAGACGTGGAGCCAGTGTGTTGCGACCGCAGCCTCTGCCCCTGGACGAGCGACGGGCAACGAACCTCAGCAATGGCAAGCTGTGTACAGGCACCGGCCTGCCCGAACCCCTCTCCCACAGACTGGCGCAGGAGGCCACCCTGGTGGCACGAGGGTGCAGTCACATTCGCATCTGCCCGGAGTGCCGGCGCTTCCAGGGCATTCGAGTGCGCCCGGCCGGCCCTCCAGGAGCATCGCCCACCCACAGCGAGGAGAGTATAGAATGGGAGAAGGGCACCAACAACAGTGAACACGAATAACCTCTCTGATCTGTGTCAGATAGACGTTAAACCGACGGCTTTGCTGGACCCAGAGATTATGGGAACATAGACTCCGGAGAAGGAGCTAAAGGAGAAGCTGTCCATGCTGCTCGATTCAGCCCAGGAGCTGCGACTGGATTCTGTACACTGTCCTGGCGGCCCTCTGCTTTCGGGGGACACAGCAGAGGGGCTTTGTACTATGCAGTATATTTGTCTAAATGTGCTGTTGATTTATTTTTAAATTATTCCTCTTTTGTTGTGATACCACTATATTGCTGTTATCTCCTTCTCACGACACCCGTTTAGTTTCGTTTTTCACACCGTAGACGGCAGACGGCTGCAGACTCGATCAACTAAGCGCAACCTTTTTTAGAGTGCCAAAATACTTTGTATTAATTTTGTGCTGTTGCCGTCTCATTCCAGCCCCTGAAGGAGTAACTATTAAGGGAACTGAACACAAAAACAACTACGATCTGTTTTTATTAATAGTTATATTCTATTAAAAAGGTTTTTGGGATGTTTCTGAATGTTTGATGTGCATGTACGAGGGTCTTAGATGCTACTGAATGGAGAAGAACATGAGAATTTTTTTTTTCTGGTTAAAGACATACTTTCTATTCTTTTAATTTTTTTGAGTTTTGATTCATTTTGTTGCACTCCTGGGATATGAAAATTGCAAATAGTTGTGGAAAAATGGAAGATTATGCTCCCATTTAGGAAATTTGCATTGGGAAACTAACTAGGATTTATGCCAATTTCCATTGACCCTTAATTTTGCCATTCCAGCAGGGCACTTGGAGATATCAGATGTGTTCACTTTCAAAAAACATGTCAGGAAAGTGAGATCTGAGGTGATTTTGTTCCTGTCAAGGTCTTACATTCATCTGTACCACTCAATACATGATGAAATCCACTACCGACAGGGTCACTCCATCTAGACATATCTGTGTGTTGAGACATTGGAGATCGTAGGCATATACATTCAGGCATTTCTTTATATTACATAACATCTCATAATGTTTAATGTTTATTTTCTTTTTGAAACCAGAAACATTCATTTGTTCATGTGAAGTCTTGGATTCATACTTCTGTTTTTCAAAAAAAAAACATCTGGTGAACACCCTTTTAAAACTGGATTCAACCAATCAGTTTTTCAACGTACCAAAGCTGATGCAGAATTTGGATACCAAAATGAAATTATTTTATTAGGCATGATCTTACCCTCAACTTGCAGTGCCAAATTGTAATAAATTGCCTTCACGTTTTGGAGAGCCATTAGAGGTTACTTGCTACTCCTGTTGATTTTTTTTCTGCGCATTTCTATTGAACTGAATCCATTTCTACATGATATTTCAATACGGTGTTAATGCCTGATGAAAATAAATGGCATTGTGTTCAGTTCTGTGAAAGGTTGGCTTTGATCTTGAAGGTTTTATCTCTTGGATCTGTCGGCCCTCTCTGTAAAAGTTATTTTTTCTATGTGCACAAATACAGCTCCATTCATTTCCTATTGCAGACTAGAATGGCTGTGCAGGTGGGTTTTCGCTGGATACACAGACCTGCAGACAACTCTATCGGGGCAACTTCAAGATGTGACACATATATTATGTGGGGCATGGCATCAGCTGCTCATCAGCTTTAGATTCACAGAGACACAAGCTGGTTTAAAGACTGTCAGCAAACAAGCAAAAGCATTTGGGAGACAGTTACTACTTGAAGAGACTGCTTACACTGGAAGGTTAAAACAAGTAGTTTAATATTAGCATTTACAATTTGGGTAAAAGTGAAGAAATATTGCCAAAAAAGGCACATACAGTAATTATTCAAATCTCATAAAAGTATTCAAAAGTCAGAAGAAATGTAGCATTGCACAAAAGTTATGAGCTTCCAATGTCATGGCTCAAGCACTTAGACATGACTAATTTATTCAATGAGCGAAAGTGACCGATATTAGAAGGTTAACAAGATAAAAAGAGTAGTATCTGGCTTGTCATGTGACCTCAAAATTGCTGTGTAAAAATCACATAGTTGTGGAACAGTGGAAGAAGAAATTTGCATTAGGAAACTAACTAGAATTGATCATTTCCATTGACCCTTTATTTTTTCCGTTCCAGCAGAGCACTTGGAGGTATCAAATGTGACCCTGGACCACAAAACCAGTCATAAGTACGGTGGCCGAGAGAGCTCATAGCGCTGCAACTTAATAAAACACATGCAAATTGAAAAAACACCAGCAAATTAAGAAAACATCTTCATCAGTTTGACAACACACGCGCTGCAAATCCTCACAGCACATGCAAATGAAGAAACGCGCTGCAAATAGCACGGACCACAACGGAAATGTTTCAAGGGGACCCAAAAAAGTGACGGACCCGGCTGGGATTTGTTTTGTGCAGTGGCTATTGGTCAGTGGAGTTGTCGGTGGTGTGTTGTCAAACTGATGAAGATGTTTTCTTAATTTGCTGGTGTTTTTTCAATTTGCATGTGTTTTCTTAAGTTGCAGCGTGTTGAGCTCTCTCGGCCACCATACATAAGGGTCAATTTTGCGAAATTGAGATTTATGCATCATCTGAAAGCTGAATAAATAAGCTTTCCATTGATGTATGGTTTGTTAGGATAGGACAATATTTAGCCGAGATAGAACTATTTGAAAATCTGGAATCTGAGGGTGAAAAAAATCCAAATATTGAGAAAATCGCCTTTAAAGTTGTCCAAATTAAGTTCTTAGCAATGCATATTACTAATCAAAAATTAAGTTTTAATATATTTACAGTAGGAAATTTACAAAATATCTTCATGGAACATGATCTTTACTTAATATCCTAATGATTTTTGGCATAAAAGAAAAATCTATCATTTTGACCCATACAATGTATTTTTGGCTATTGCTACAAATATACCCCAGCGACTTAAGACTGGTTTTGTGCTCCAGGGGCACAAATGTGTTAGCTTTCAAAAAAAACATGTCAGGAAAGTGAGATCTGAGGTGATTTTGTTCCTGTCAAGGTCTTACATTCATCTGTACCACTCAATACATTATGAAATCCACTACCGACAGGGTCACTCCATCTAGACATATCTGTGTGTTGAGACATTGGAGATCGTAGGGTTAGATTAGTATTTACAATTTCGGTAAAAGTAAAGAAATATTACCAAAAAAATGCACATGCAGCAATTATTCAAATCTGTAACAATGAAGCATCATGAAAAATTGAAGAGCTTCTAATGCCATTGAACTGCTCTATTTGCACTCAAACATGACTGATTTATTCCATGAGCAAAAGTGATCAATAATAGGGGGCTTAACAAGATAAACAGTAGTATTCGGCTAATCGTGTGACCTCAAAAGGGCTGCCACCATGGGGCAACCCACTCCATGTAAAACAAAACATTATTAATATGACTCGAGTCCTCATCTCATGCGACAGTACATCATTTAAGCATGTTTTTTAAAAGTGCTGTTCATTTGTCTGTGAAAAAAAAAATAATGAGGGGAAAAATTACTGAGTAGGCTATACATGTTTGTGGTTGCATTTTTCATTTCTCTCTGAATACTTTATAAAAAATATTGTTCAATGAGAGCTTCCCGCCCAGACTCATGAGAAAGCCTAACTATTTGAGGAGGTAGTGATGTCATTTGTACAGAAACATGATTTTTAGAAAAGAAAAATTAAGCATGAAGGTCCATCCCTATGCATAACTGTCAGTGGTGTGTAAGCAGAATATATGAAAACATACATATGGAATTGTACCAATTCATACAAATTAGCCACCAATTCACCAAAATGTAACATTGCCATGAGACTGTGTTGGAGCTTCTGTGTTTGCCTCAATCCTGTGTATTTTCAAACTGAAATATCTCCAACATCTGCCAATGTCTAAATGATAGAAATCCATTTAAGTTCCAGGGTTCAAAAACTAAGTTGTCCAGCGCAATGGTAGTTTGATAGTAATGAGTGTGAATTGTTCAGAGACTGAAATGTCATGGCTGAAGACAGGACTTATTAGTGAGACATGCAAAGCTCACAGCCCAATCAGTCTGGATGCATTCCCGAGGGCAGGGCCTCTATCTCTCTCAGCATACTGACCTTCTCCAACCCATTTATTTCTTAATTCAGCTCTAACCTGTTTCCACAGTACAAAATTGCATCTCTAGCTTTAATTCCTTCAAGTGTCGCAACTGGTTTTTGTCAAACAGAAGGAAATTTGACTTTTTTGCTGATTTACACTTAATGACATCAGCAAACTTGGTATCATGTCTTGTTGCAATTCAAGTACGCGTTGCATTTTCAGCGTTGCCAAATGGGGCGCTATCAGGGTTGCCAGGTTTACAGAGTAAACCCACCCAATTGCTACTCAAAACTAGTCCAATCACGTTCCAGGGGGGTAAAATCCACGTAAAATACATGTTTATGGCAGGGTTCCCCTGGTAAAGATCGTATTCCAGGGGATAAATATAACATTATTGGGATCGCTTCAACCAGCGGACATGAAAAATAACTGCGGCAACAGTGTCAAAGTAGCCCAATTCCACGGGAAAACCACGGACCTGGTAACACTAGGCACTATAAACCTTAAGGTAAGCGCCATATTTAATATTTGACAGAAATTAGTACTCTTGTTTAACATACCAGCTGTTCAGCTGATGAAATGTCTTTCAAGAAAAAAAAAAAATTTAGCAGACAAGAGTTTTGAAAGATTGAAAATCAAGTGATATAGGACCATTATACAGTGCATGCTATGTAAAGACTTTAAGTCTATAGGTGTGTCCCAAATCATGTACTTATGCACTATTCTATGACGTTTTGTAGTATAAATAGTGTGAGTAGTGCGTTCACACTGAAAATTCCAAAAAGAAAAAAAACACTTTAAATACCCGGATGATGCACTTAAATAACAGAAAAAACGAAGTGTGGAATGTTGGATGCTTCATGCACATGCACTTAGCTGCCGCAGCTTTAATTATGTAGCGAAGGGGGAACGGTTATCAGACTCCGATTATTAATGACAAAATAACCTTATATAATTCATACACTACATGGTTGAGTACATAGTGCATAAGAACATAGTGTATAAGTGCATAGTGCACCATTTGGGATGCAGCTTATCACTCACAACCATGTTTTCATCCGCACTAAATTCAATATGGCGTCTAACCTAACTAAAATTGCCTTCTTTTGCGGCTACATGAACGTCGCTTGTGTCTTGCTTCTTTTGCAGCGTTTTGCGCATGATACAGTGTTCTGAAACAACTTTTTTTTTTAAACCGGTCCACGACTAGATGGAGGACGCATTTTTAAATGCAAAAATGTGCCCAGTGTGAATATTCTTTAGGGGCCACTATGCTACTTTTCCTTTGCTTTTCTATGTAAGCATGCTCTAGGTTAGATGGATGTGTTTGACCGCTGTTCTCACGTCTATTGCAGCGTCTCACGTACGACACAGCATTCTAAAAGGTGGAAATCAATGTAAAAAAGTTAAACAAAGCAAAAAAACTCATCTCCTGGCCTTTTTTTTCATTCCACTGTCCTTTGTCTCGTGTTTTTTAAAAGCAAAAATGCATTCT